GATAACCGACAAAAGGGAAACGCTCGCAGCTGCTGCCATTGTGCCTAAATCCTCTTGTTCATTTCCTCGCCTGACAAATAGAACTAGAATTCGTGGGGACATTTCAAACGATACTGGTTTCGTTAATTTTTCGATCGAACTAGCAAAAATCAAAATCACCTTTTCCACATTTTTTATTTCCCATCTCATATATTTCCATCGATCGAAATCCTTATGAAACATACTTTCACAGAACGAAATCTACACGTCAAACCGAGAGGAAAATCAAGAGTGACGAAATTGCGTTCGAGGCTTCGTTTTCGAGTTATTAACTGCGGAACTCGTGAAACAGTTGACAGACGCGCCTCCCAAGTAGCACAACCCATCGCGTCAGACGTATTTCGGCCGAGTGTTCAACGATCGATAACACCAAAACGAAGCCGCGAACCGAATTTCGTCATTCTTGATTTTCGTCTTACTTTCCCACGTAGAATCGACCCAGTAGAGTGTTTCCGATATTTTTCTCAACACCCTGTATCACTCGACACCGGCAGTTATCCTACGATTCCAGTGGAACTTTATTTCGTTTACACCCCCCTTCGCCCCCCCCCCCAAGGTATTTATTGCGGTTTCCTGTCGGCTCGTAATTTCTCTAGACTTGCTTTCTGTGTATCACTCCGATGCATGGTGTCCTCGACACGCTACGTTACCGACGAGTCCCGCTTGAAAATCGATCGAAGATTTAACAGTCGAGCGAACCACACGAAACGTTTACGCGAGAGAACCACCGTGATTCTGGGGTTGGGTGTTTTTCTCGTTTTTGTTATCGGCGGAACAAAGAAATCCAAGAACGTGTATTGGTATTTCGAACGAACATACGACGTTTTACTTTTTGTTGATTGTCTCTTGGGTTTTTTTCGTCGAAAGTAAATATCGCGACGGCCCTGGTCGATCGTCGACGATATTTCGTCTGGGTCTTGGGGGAGGATGGTAACCTTGATGAGGCGGATATTTTTTATTTCTTTCTAAGCAGAAATCTTGGAAACCGAGAACTCTGGAGAGCAGACAGTTGTTTTGTTTTTTTTTTTTTTTTTTTTTGTTCCACGAGGTATATACGACTGCAGGTTCGCTTATTTAGCAATATGGCCGTTTGAGAGAGTCAAGGAGAACCACGACTGGTGGAAAACCATGGAAATTGAATTCGTTTAAGGCTGACCGACTGGAGGTTTCGATCGAACAATCGAGTACAATTTCTTGCGATAGACCACAGACTGACCGTTTAAAAAAATAACTTTCAATGATTTTTTTAGGTTAACTCCACGGATGACCAGGTCTGACTCGGGGTCTTAAGCCGATATAGTGGTGATTTCTTTATATTTATTCCAGAATAGAGTCAATATACCAACGGTTATTTTTTAAAGCGGTGTAAGTCGAATTTAAAAAAAAAAAATCAGTTGAAGCTAGTTTCAATTATTTCTTTTTATGTGTTTATAATAACAAAGTGAAATACAGTACAATATTCACATGAATTCGTCGAAAGATGTTTGGCTGTTAAATGGAATTGCATAAATGTTGTTTTTTTTTAAACTGGTCCATTTGTTACAATGACTCGATTCAGAGGCAGTTACAAGAAGACAGAAAACTACTGACGCAAAACTATGTAAATTAGTCAAAGATTTCCTGGATGAGATTTAAAAGGAACACGCGTCATCTGAAATGTTACACGAAACATCAATGGAAGAATATGCGGAATTTAATGTCCGAGGGTTTATCCACGTAACGAGGAAAACCAAAGAAAATTTCAGTGAAATAATAATAATTGTCGTTATATAGAAATTCAAGACTTTTCACGTCAGCTAAATATAAGGATACGATGAATTTATTGGCTCGTATACCACCTCAGAGATAAGAAAATTCATTATCTAGATAAAAAGTTTCGAACAACGAGTAGAAGATGAAAAAAAAAAGTATCTCGCAATTTTGACTAGACTAAACGTGGAAATTCTAATTTTTATCAGAAGATAATATTTCTTCTTGAATGAATAGACACTTGGCAAACAATTATTTAATCTCACTGACTGTTTGAAAGTTAAGATACCGATCTTAGATACTGTTGCTTTCCGTTATGAATTATTCGAATAAAATTCTGCCCAACTCTGTACCACCTGTTCACCACGAATATATATGGAATAACTTTCTACAAAGCAAAGTGAATAAATATGAAATTTCCCGTGTAAACAGAAGTTATATTTGCGAGAAAAATTAACCTTGCTGGAACGCGGATTCGCGTTTACCCAAACAAATCAGAGTGAAACAAGAAAACCACGTCCGCTAGATAACGCCCCTCCCCCCCAACTGCCTACTTTAACACCTGCTCGCTTAGTAAGTTCGTCCGACCGGATAATGGAGGCCAATTACGGGATTACAGCGAATTATGTCCGCGTAACGATACATACGCCAGAAGCGGAGAAAAAATTTTTATGTTTCTGTAATTGCGTCGTCGTCGTCGTCGAGCATAAAGAGGCATTATTTTTCGAGTGTCAAGAACCAGTCGGCGCGTAATGAGGCGGAACGACCATGCGTAAATTCCCTACGGTGGGGCTGTGAAATTCACCGAAAATCATGCACGATTGGTAATTCGGCGGATATCGAAGGGCAAGGTTACCGACAGGATCGGACGTCACGATTGGGAACGAAGTAGTTCCAGTGGACACTTTGACTTACAATTAACCAGATACATATTTGTTCCTGAGATAGTGTAGCAACATTATAGACAGGATCATACAATTATAGACGGTTACAATCCACAATCAATTTTGTTCCTTCCGTTTTCAAGACAATCGGTTTTGAGAATTCATTCGATACGTGCTTGACATAAGTAGATACAGCAAGCGATGATCAGAGACGTTAACAGTCCTATAGAGTCTGGTAAGTGTTTCTACTCGAGAAATTGTCAAAACCATCCTTTTCCTAAAACAAGACGCTACGGTAATGTCTCGATGAGTGCGACCTGTTTGCAGCCTCTCATAAATTTGTTTTTTGGACGAAATCGAGCCTCTGCTTACCTCTTGATTATTCTGTTTTGAGCGGCTCCAGAAGGGAACTCCCCCAATGGTGAGAATAACACAGTTTTTCATGTCGCATTCATCGAGGAATTACTGTACTGGCAAATATTTATCGCGGGTTATCAACTTGTCCCTTTACGAAGAAGATCGTCCTCTAGTCGGACATACTAACAGACACACAGTGATGAACAAACTCATTATCTAAATAAAAAGTTTCGAACGAATAAAAGATAAAAAAAAAAAAGTATTTCGTCATTTTTAATTATTTAAACGTGGAAATTTCAATTTTTATTATAAAATAATACTTCTTTATGAATGAATCGACATTCGTCGAACAATTATTTAATCTCATTAACTGTTTAACACTCAGAACGACACCCTTAGATACTGCTGCTTTTCACTGTGCATTATTCGAATAAAATTCTGCTCAACACTGTACACGCACCAACGAAATCACACCTCCATGTAGATATCAACCCCTTCCGAGAGCTAACGTAATTCTTTAACGGTGCACACCGCGTGCTACTTAAAGGCGGATAAATCAAGGAAACAAGTTCGCGCGACAATACGTCATCCTATTCGCGGCACCGGGCAAGAAACTACGCTGCTGTGTGCACACACACACACCGTGGATTCACAAGTGGCAAAAAGTGTCGGAGAGGGCAGAGATTTATACCGCTGCTTATCGAACTCACAAATTACTCGGGACCTGGGGGTAGTAAAAAAGGGCAACAATTTATGCACACGCTAAGAAGGAAAGTGCGTTTTACTCTCCCGTGGATACGAAGAGAGATTCTCCCCGTCCGGCGCGTAACGAACGTAGAAGAAAGTGGCGCTAATTGGCCGGCTCTTACGTTCCGGGACTAAAACGTTTCGCGAAAATTTATCCGATTCGAGGAATGGTGCGATTCAAGTGACGTGTGTACCCTCGGTCCACTTTTTCGAATTAGATATTGTGCGTAATAATATATTTTCGAGTCCACCGGATATCGGTCTTTGGATATCCAGGGCAACTAATTTTACAATGTTTTACGATCGATGTTTATAGGGGGAAAGTTAAACAGACTCGAGTAATTACAAATCGGTATATATAATAATTTGCTTGGGCTAACTATCGCCGTATTCGTCATTCGACTTCAATAAAACTTCTGTCAAAGGAACGAAATTTCTAGTTGCTACAGATTCACATGGTGATGATATAATTTTCAAACCTAAAGAAAGCAGCCGTTCGATGGCATAATTTCAACGAACAAGGAGAAGAAACACGACCATTCGTTTGACACCCGAAACGTCACCTGTCATCACCGCCCTTTTTGCGTAGTCGTCCGGTCACATAAAAAGCGCCAGGTAAACAGAATACAGTCTCCGTGGAAGAGATGTGGCCTGGTTGTAAAATTGAGTTAACGATGGAACAAAAGAAATCGACGAGGATACAGGTGTAGGAGACTTTGGGCCTTACATACTTTAAGGTCTGACGAACCCTCTAAACTCTGTTCTAGTTCAATTACAATTGTTCCTACTGCCATATTATTTTTTTCGGAGCGCCAAGAACGGAATAAATGTTCGATAAAGGTGCGTCCCCAGTACGACAAAATCGAACATATGGGGATATGTCATCGGCACGTGCCAATAGGCCGCGCGGCATAATGGGGAGACAAAACAGGCCGATCGGTTTTACCAATTTCGGACCAAACATGAATTTCACGAGTGAGATTCGTGGTATCAATTTCGATCATATATTAGGCACTACATAAGTATGCTTATGGTAAAATAGTGGTAGATGGGAATAAGGGAATTCAGCACATCCCCGCATCATTTTGGCCCGGATTATGTCGGGCTAAATGGTACGGCAAGGGGTTAAAACCAGTGTCGGTTAGGGGTCTGTTTTCACGACCATCCTATTGCGTATCGTTTGTCGAGGGGTATGAGTAAACGTAGAAACGTGCAATTACTCACCAGACGACGCCGAAGGCACCATACCCGATGGGTCTGTCGGGCTGAACGGGATCCTGGGCTGGCGGCGGTGGCGGGGGCGCAGGAGCAGCGGGGTGGTAGTAAGTGGGGGGTGCCTGGGCCGCAGCAGCTAGGACCGCTTGCCCCGGATGGGCCCCCGTTGTCCCGCCGCCGCCTGTCGCCCCCGCCCCACCCCCCTGCATCAGCGACATGGACACGCTCATGGACACCCGCGAGTGCCGGCTGGGCCCAACCACTGCCATCAAAACTCTCCTCTCTCCCTAGGGGCCACCCTCTCCTCAACCCTTTCCTTGATTCACCGCCACCGCCACCGCCAAGGTCCCCGCTGCTCCAGGGAACCCGGGACACGCCTCTCTTCCTCCCCTGCTCGTTCGTCCCGTTTCGATTATATATTTTCCGACACTGTTTCGTCACCTTTCCCGTTGGAACACTGATTTACTACGGATCTCGCGGTCGGCCCCCCCACACCGGAGACACGCACGTGACACTGACACACAATCCGTTGATCTCGTTTCCTTCTTACTTTGTTTTCCCCGGTTTCTCCCTTTATTCTCCTCACCGTGCGACTAAGAGCATCCGTGCCGAGACAAAGGGAACACTATTCGTCGATAATTTTATTTCTCTTGTTGTACCACCCGCTGGAAGGTCCTGTGATGAATTTACACCGGTTCAATTGGGTGGGTTCCGTGTTTACTGGTGGAATCGTCTCGATAGTGCTGTCGGTTCCATAACGTGATAGTTTCCGCGAGGAGTTTGAAGATTTGTATGGTGGTTACGAATAGGAACGAGAATCCGTGGAAATAATTAGAAGAGGTCCGATGGTTGCTTCGACGCGTTTCAAATGACGCGCGCTTTCGGGACGTACGGTGGGAAAGGGGAACAGGGAGAGTTCGCGGGGAATACGGGGGAACGAGGAAGTTCCGTGACACCACGTTCGAACCCGTGGTAAGCGACCGTGATCGCGTCCTTTATCGTGACCGTCGACGGATATGCGATATGATACGCAGAGGGTGATTCCAGAAGGGGGAGGAGGGGATATGGGGACGGCAGTTGATGTCCTCGTGCGCGTCTTCTCGGGCACCGACAGAGATAGGTAGAGGACAGATAAGTCGTTGCGTGTCAGACGGTTCTACTTGGTTCGCGTACGAAGCCAAGGGATAAGGAGTGACGCGGGTTCCTAGAACACTCGACGCTTCTAATAGAGACAAAAGGTGTCCTCGATGCGCGAGTGTTACGAGTCACAGGCGCAGGTGCGCTGGAAACACGCGCCACGTTATTTTCACCGCGTAGTCAACTGCATCGACAGACGACTGACGCTTAGGTTATGTTTGACACACGCACGTTAGCCCGTACTCCCTCTTCGCCGTCAGTTACGCTCAGCTGGCCTCATAACGTCGCGGGCGTTCGGTGGGACGGAGATGGAAAGGGGGCGGTGCTTGTCCGTAAGAAACACTGTGTAACGCGAGAGAAACAGATAAAGGAACGACAAGGGGAACACTGAAAGGCTCGGTCGAGTCCTCGATGGCCACGATGAACTCCGGCTTCAGGGGCACGAAACACTATTCGTCGGTACACGGGGCCACGAACAGAGCAATTCGACTCTCGGTGTCCGGGGTCTTACGGCCGAGCCAAAAAACACTGCCACTTTCGTACCAGATATCAAAGCACGCACACACAAAACACCGAAAACACGCGCGCGCGCACATACAAAACGAGAGGGGGAGAGAAAGAGAAAAAAAAGGAGTCTCCGCGTAGCCGCGATGGAGGGATCGTCGCGGTACGAACGAAACACACGTCTTCTCGCAGCCAAGGCTTGCTGGCCACTAGCCGAAGGGGAAGGCGAGCTACGCCGTCTACAGCGCCAGCTGCTCACAAAGGGGGGTCACGTGACCTGCGCCCTGACCCAACGCGCAGCCAAACCTGCGATCCTTGCGTACGTACTCTTTGCAAATACGAGCGGCTATGCAACTTGCCTGTTTTTTACTATTTGCGGTTCATTAATTGAATTTATTTTTTATCTATTAACATCAAGCGTACTCTTAATGAATGTACAATATTAAAATCGTTTTTATTTAGAAACAAGAAGTTTATATGTTATCAAATTTACCGTTACGGGGATTTGATTCGAACCCTTACTCAATCGGACCTGGAAATGTAATAACCACTGAGTGACTCATTTTTTTTTTTAATTAACCAAGATATCGATTGATTTGTACAGGGTTAATGAAGTAGACAATTGATGTGCGTGATTGTAGTTGAACATGTATATTTACAGGATTGTAACGAATCACTGTCGAATGTATTAAACTAAAAAATCATTTTCCTCCCTTTCCTGCGTCATGAGAACTTACATTTATAAAAAATGCTACGCACGTACGAGTAACTCAAACAAGCCATTTACAAAGCATGGCTTTTGTCTATGATACGATTGTAAGAAAAAATCGAGTATGTTTTTGCGTAGTAATTTTGCGAATTTATTTTTGGTGGGACATTTATATGGAATATAAAGAACATTCTGAATAAAAAATATGGATACCATTTCTACGAAGAGATCTCGAAAGAAAACTCGTCGGGTCTTATCTTACAATCGTAACAGTTTTATTCGACATCTTATTGCATATATCCATGTCTGTATCGATATCCACATTTATCATATACATATATCGTTTCAGTGATAAGTGTACCCATAAAGGAGAGTATTATCTGTTTGTTGTTTCTCGTTCAATTGTACACATATCTGCGAGGCATGTATTCACAATTAACAATACAAGAGTAGCAAATCCGATAAAATTCTGATCGAAAGTAACAAAGGCCAAAATTAGTCTGTTCGTATTCCCGTTCCTTTTTTCCCCCATGTACATAATGAAAATAATTCTTTGTTCTTTTTTCTTCCTTCTAGCAATCACATTGTGCACGTTAACAAACTAGTTGGTACACGATTAAACCTAATTCATTCTTACGATTTATATTATCCTTCTAGAAACGCCGGTTCGATACTTATTCCTATTCGATATAGGTACGATCTGTGAATACAGGCCTGAAAACTTACAATACGATTGTGTAGGAAAATATGAAAAGGTTTACATATCTCGAATCACCTCTTCTCGCGCTACATAGGCTTCTATCTTTGGTCTGACCGAATTTCTGTCGACAATGTCCTCCATTTGTTCGCCGAAAGAACGCGTGAACCGCGAAAAAAATAAATTTCACACTAGTATCCGTTACTCTTCGCTATAATTGCGTACAGCGATATAACACAGTCCTCGTGCTCCCATTTTTTCTTTTTTTCTGTCACGTTCATCGGGCACGTACAAAAATCGCAGACAAAGTATAGTTACAGAAGTATCAGCTCGAAACGTTCGAACAGTAGGATCCACATCGCAAACGTACCCGATCCAACTAAACTGATGTCAAAGTGTATACGGTGGTTGACTTTTTAAACCCATGAGCGCCCGTGATCATGCTATATCTATATTCATACGGGTCAGAGTACTCTTTCATACGTACCTTGTTAAAAATTTTTACAAAATTTTCCGCAAAAATAGCTCTTTTTAAAACGGAGCCTCGACTTTCCACTAATTCATCAACTTTTAGACATTCGTGAAACTTCCCTCTTTTTTTTTATTATTATTCAGTGGGCACCGATGAGTACGGACATATAACGTTTGCCCCGCGTGTTTGTTGCTTTTTTATTAATTGGTATTATTAACTAACAAGCGCACAAGTATTAGCAATATTAAGCTCATGAGGTACAGTGTGCTTTACACCTTAAGATATCTATTCATTTGGCGAGAGATTGTATAGAATTAAAGTTGAAAGACATTAATTGGTGTAGAAACAAGGTGTTGTCAATTTAAATTAATGCGCACATACACCCGCTGTTATAATACACATAAATATCATGAAAATTTCAAAGAATATTAGAACGTGGTTCGTTAGTTTTCTTTAATTATAAATAGCAGCAGAGATAGGTGGAATAATAAAGATATTAGTGACCTCTTGAGAAAAACGAAAACGTGAATTTTCTCATTTTATACGTACATTGTTCCATAAAATTGATGCGAATCCTCGATATAACGCGCAACAGTTTCTTCTTGAATTTTGTACAGACAGTATGTATGAACTACCATTTCATTCAGTTCATGTTTGATCTTCGCTAAACACCACTCGATCACTTTGTATAAATTTTCGTTAGGTATTATTGAGCGATAACATCACTGTGATTTTAAGTCAGTTCTGAATTAAGACAGCTCGAAGCCTGTGTTGCTAGTAACCGCATAACGTAGCTTCTCTCTTAGTGTACTCTTCTTTTGGTAATTGGGTAATTTAAGGAGGTTGAAACATGTGGACGATGTGGGCAAACGATTTTGCGGATCCTTTTTACGAATTGTAAAGAATCCTCTTATGACACTACCTGTTTTAAAGAAGAATGAAAACATATTACGAAACATGTTATAATTACAACAGTAAGATTTAGAATTCCGTACCGATTGTATCACCCGTGTCCTCGTCATCGCCAACCTCTACACAGCGAATAGAAAAGGGTGGATCTAAATATGCAAAACCCAATAAAGGTGACTTTGAGCAGCTTGTTACGAACTGTAAGTCGAAAGGAAAACGAAAACATTACTTTTAACAGCTAGCAGGTAAAACACAATCAATATACCTTCAGGAACAAACCCCTTTCCTCTTCAGAAAAATCTTTTTCCAAAATGTCCCATAACCAGCATACAACGCGATGGCTGTCATGAAAGCCGCCGTAATATTGCGTGTGCCTTCGCAGGTCCCGTAAATCTAACGGGACATTATCGCCTGTAATTAATCTTTGCAGCTGAAAAAAAGCAGCAATTCAGAGAAACGCTTTGCACGATTAATCACTGAACTTTTGAACAAGTTTTGTCTTACTTCCGGAGTTGAAAACAACGTCAACCACTCAAGATTAATTATAGAACGGAAACCCTTCATAAAAGCAGCTGTCTGATCTTTTATTTGCATGTGCATTCTGAAATGAGCCATTAAGTGTATATAATTAATCTTATTCTCATTGGTGACCGGCACCGCTCGTCCTCCAGGAATTAACTCGTGCGTAACTATTTTTCCTAGAACGTCCTCATCGAGAGAAAATGTCAATTCTAACTGTCTAACATCACCCTTGTAATGCTTCACTAGAGTTAAACTTCTGTACAAGTCTCTGTCTAGAGATGCCAATTCGTCCAACCAGCTATACAATGCCCCTCCAGTTTGCCCGCAAAATTGGGAAACAAAGAAGGAAGCGAAAGGTACATCTATAACAATACCCTGCAAAAATATATCATTTATAATATCAGTCAGGAACATATATAACAATTCAATATCCACTTACTTCGTACACAGCTTTACCCAACATACGACCAACAAATTCAAATAGCTGCAAGTGGTTATCTTGCATGGAAGATGTCGGAGACGGATAAAGTCGATTTTCAGTGGTTGCTCTGAATAGATTCAAAGATGGATCGAAAACTTTCTTTATCGTCTCCTCCAAAAATTCTTTGAACACTCCATCTTGGTCAATGCCAGCCTCGGCTAAACCCTGCTCATTTACAAAACGAACTCTGATTAAACCTTTTAATGCCTGAGAAGGTAACATTGCAAGCTGGCGATATCCATCCTCTACTATACGTGTTCTGAAAAGTACATTCTCATTTTTATTTTATTTTAGATGTTTTAGTCAAATAAAAATATGTTTAATACCTATGAACCACGATTAGCGTTGTTGGTGTACCGTTGCAAGCACTCTCGGTCAAGCCCAACACAACTTTCTCGTTCACTACATGCTTGCGAAACAGTACTACACGTTCACAATGAGGAATCACATGAGGCATTTTGGAAAGAAGAAGAGCAGCACCACGTCTACCTTTTTCCAAATCTGCTAGGAAACCTGACACTCGAACTTCCTGTTTTAGAAGCTCGTCAATTTTAAAGTCAGATAGTACAATTTACGAAATATTTGATTAAATATACTTAACTTGGCCAACCAGTGTCCATCTGGACAAAACGTCCGTCTGCAATCCCGTCGATAAATTGCCATTAAAAGTGTATGAAGAGAGGTGAACAAAGGATTACTGGAAACCGACTTCACGTCTGGAACATCTAAAACTTTAGTACATAGCTAAACCAGTTGTCATTTACGAAATTATCATATACAAGAAAACAAACGCAATCTTAAGTTCTATTATGTGGGAATATATATAATGGTTTTAATACGCACCAAACAAGTTATTAAGAACTGCCTTGTATAAAAACTGATTTAAAAAATATGATATTGTTACAAAATCGTTAAGCTTGAATGGATCTTGTTGTTCATACATTTCCATGTCATCCAAGATTCTGTAGATGAATAATCGTGACACTATTACTATGGTCGGATACTTAATACATGTATTGAAATATACTTACGTAACGTAATGTGTCGTACAATCAGAAAACAATATTAACATTTGAAATTCAGGTGCCGTGCACTTTGTATTGGCAGCTAAATGGTCTAAAAACGCTTTCAAACCACAATGTGGACCCAATGTTCCCAGGAATAAATACATGTGGTATAAAATTTTATCTTGGTAGCATAAACCTGTGAAGGGTATAAACATGTACATCAAGTATAGTCGTGATTATTAATAGATTATTAAAATACTTTACATTTATACATACCAGTTAATATCTCCATCTTCATTTGCGTAAGTGTATGTAAAGCAATCTGATACAGGGAACAAATTAAAGCTATTCTAGTAGTTTCTGGACTTCCTAATTTTCTATAGTTCTTAGTATTATTATTTCTATTTGTACGTGCTTCCAAAAATGCTCTTCTAAAAATGTTAGTACCAACAGACGTACTTTGTTGCTCCACTGACGGAGGTATTTCTTTTTCAATGAGTTCCGTTAATGGTTGACCTAACAGAACGATTTATAAATGTAATCGAATTTCAATGAAGGTATTTTTAAAGGAAAAAGTCTTTTAATTCACCAATTAACTGTGTAACTATTCTTCCTGTCCATAGGCTTGCTAATTGTGTTTTTACATATGGAATAGGTTCTTGCAGAGTTGTGTCAACCTTCTGTGCCAACCACCCAAGAATTGGATGCCAATGTGTTAAGTTACTCTGCTTTGCAACCACATATTGCTGACAAGCTTCCAACATTTTTGTTACAACAAACTAGAAAATATTAGAGAAAATTAATAGCAATCCTCAGAACTGTTTTAAAGTCATATACTTCATACTAAATCTGTACCGTAAAGGAAGGAAAATATAGCTCCCTCAGTACTTCCTCTCTTTCAATATTAGCCAATTGTATTAAATTGGCTAGTAAACACAGTGCATAGCTACCTTCTAATGCATTAAAAACTATTCTCAAGTTTTGCTCCGAATTCAGCAACTCTAAGCTTCTTGCAAACAAGTTGCAAGTGATAAATGTTGAAATACACTAAAAATATATTGTATATAAAATTTAGCATGTACTTGAAGTCAAAGTTCAGATTGGAGTTTTATTCCCAACATACCACCGATGATATATTGTGTAGATGATGAACCAATGCAGGCACACTGAAAACGTTAATTAAAAATAGTGATACCAATTTGTCTGACATATGGGATGAAATTAAAGGCCTCAGTGCCAATGTGACTGCTGCTGAAAGTGCAATTGGTTTCAAAGCGATCTCTACTCTACCCAATCCTTTCATTAGGAAAACCTATAACAAAAAAAACTAAACTGAACAAATCTGTAATATACTGAGCAGTATAAGGGCTATTATAAATTACCTGCATAGTCGGATAAAACCCATTGCTGACTAGGTCACCCATTATATTTGCGCAAAGCTGGTTCATTGCAGCTCTTAGTTTATCCATTCCTTCCACTTTTTGTATTGCCCATGTTCCTGGGGATGTAAAACTAACTAATGTATGTAATCTCAAATGGATGGATTTATGGTCAGATACTCTCTCTGGTTTCAGATTATCTAAGCCGTTCAGACAATAAAGTAACAACTTTTTCATTTGCAATATCCATAATTTGTAACGATCTTTATTCAGCACCAGTCCTACATATGAAGTCTCTGGGGACTCTGAATCAAGAGTCGACACTAAATATCTGAAATGTTTATCTCGTGTCATAAAGTGTTTTATTCTTTTTCATTACATTACTGGTGTACATATAATAATACACACTATACAGTCTTGTATGCACGTACCTACATAATTTTTCTATTCTTTCTTGATCCCTTTCTTTCCTATATACATACAAAAATTTTGCAATAACCTTGTACATGTACAAAGCAGGTTTCAGCTCTGCATTAGACTCTGTACCACCATCGTTGAGAAAGTTTGTATCAAAGTCTTCTCTGAAAATTTCATTCATTGTTCAACTAATTGCAATCTAATTTATTTTCATGATGCACAAATAACCAAAAAATATATCTATAAATATATGCCGTCAATCAACATGCATTAAATATAAAGGCGAACGCAGATTCGAAAATTATCAGATATCTAATGGAAAATTACAAAACATGAAAATAAATAAATGTCATAAACTGATTAATAAGACAAGTGCTATGTTTACAGTGAACAACAAATCGTTGAAAAATCATGTATAATTGTCGTGAAGGAAGTACAATGATTTTGTAGTGATACAATCAAAGAGAACTCACAATATTCTTTTACGGGTCAACCATCCCCTAACATAAGCCTGAATTAAGGTGACAGCAACTTCTCTGTCCTTTTCATGGGCCCTTTCTTCCCTAGCGGCTTTCGTTTGCTGAAGAAAGCTGTCCTTTGACGACTCCTCAGCTTTGAACATCCTGGATTTACCGCGAACGCCCGCTAAGCACTAAATTATGCTAATGGCAAAACATTGTCAGCTGGTCATCCGTGGTTACTAGTCGACACCGCGATACAACCACTCACTAGAAAAACATCCTTCGCAACAGCATGCGGCTCGTTGATTCTCATTCGTGAGATAATCACACCGACCGAACGGCAGCGATTGCCACTCGCCACGCGTTTTTCACTGTCACATAATCCGTGTGTACCAACGAATGACAGCCACTACGACGGCCATTGTTATTAATTTGATTCGGAGCTGGTTATCGAGGACAAAGGATATTAGGTTAGGTTAAAAACCACGTGACTAGTGGCGCCATAAGATCGAGCAAGTAAATTGAATCGCATTTACGCACTTTTGCCGCAATTCTTTAGACATTTAATATTTTGTATGATACATTCTCCACCAACTTCTTCTTTTCGTAATTTTTACAGTTTTATTTAATTCAACGGGATTATAAGATAATGAATAAATTAATTTCATTCTTTATACTCTGAACAAATTGTATTTCAGTCCTCTTAAAAAGTATCCTGAGTGGAGGTAAACGACAGTCAAGAAACTTTGTGTCATACACAGTTTTTCATAAAAATAATTGCCTATATAATGTTGATTTTACAATACCGCACACTGCTATTCGATATTTGTACTTTGTTTTACAAGATATTCGAAACAAATTCATGAACGGTTAACGACATACATACATGTAAACTTCTTACACATTTCCATGAATGGGATAAATGTAATTACATTTATTCAATACTTTTTTATAGAATTTCTTTTTAAACATTTAAGCAAGATTTAAAAAATTGTATAAAATATTACTATTATGTTGCTATGAAGTCTGAAGACCTTAGCGGTAAATCTAGAAATCTTGGAAATGAGTGCAAAATTTCAGTTGTCAATATCTTTCAATCACACTTTTCGGTTTAAGAATTAAGTGGATAAATGTGTAAAGATTTTAACAAGCGATTATTTGAATATATTGGCAATCGCGAATTAATTGTTTAACCAAAACAGCCTAAAAAGAACTATAAATAACTACAGATATTTTAATATGTATGACTCATGACAATCATAACAAATATCTATAGAGAGATATACAAACACATTTTTTGTTACATCAATTGCTAATCTCGTTTAATGTAAATTCTTTTGAAGAGTTTAAAAGCGATAATTTAAATCTGAATCAAATAATCCACTTGTTAAAAGCATTTGTCACTGTCCATCATAATAAGCTTATGCTACAAATTCTAATTTAAATTGTCCTTAAATTAATATGTTTTTGTTACTAGATTTTCAAGGTAAACCATAAAGTTTTAGTGTTCTGTCCATACTAGTAGATGCTATATACTGTGCATGCTTTCCAAAACGAACACCAGTCGCGGCTGCTGTATGATCGTTGAGTACTTTCAGTTCTTGCCACTGTTTGCACAAGTACACTCTGAAAAAGTATACAAATAATTGGCCACGTGGTTCAATAAACTGCAACTAAAATCGAATCAATTAATCGAGTACAATTCTCACCTAACGTCCGTTCCAGCAACTGCTAAGTATGTTCCACTTTGATCGAAGCAAATATCTTTAACTTCATACGATTCTTCTAACTGAAGCGTTTTAAAGTTCTTCAGTTTACGTAAATCCCAAAGTTTCACACAAGAATCCTCCGCAGCAGTAGCTAAATAGTAACCGTTTTCGGAGAAACTGATCGCCGTAATTGGTCCCGAATGACCCGGGAAATTAGCTACATTCGACTGCTCTTTCAAATCCCAAATCTTCACTTGAGAGTCCGCGGTACCAGTACCGAAAATCAATCCATCAGGATGGAACTGAGCTGTAGTCAATGGTTGACTAACTTGTCCGGCAACCTAGAACAGAATAAAATGTAAAACGTTCATTGAAGTATATTTGAAACATTTATTAAAGTTTATTTGTTTTCTATAGAATGTACCTTAGTCAATAATCTACCAGTACGTATATCTGAGAATGCCCAATGCTGATCCAGTGATGAACTTAACAAATAATCGCCTGTTGGATGCAACGAGAGTCCAGTCACCGGAGCATCGTGAGCCTTCAATAATAACGTTGTCTGACTAGTTCCTACGTTCCATACTCGTATTGTAGTATCAGGTGATGCAGTCATTACTATATCTTCTTCTGGATGATAAATTACTCTTGTAACCTAGGAGGATTAAAATATATTCTATATGCCATTTTTCACATATATAATATATACATATGGATGATTAGTACCTTCTTAGTATGTCCCTTCAATATAGCAACTACCTGCTCCGTATCTTTGTTAAATACTGTAGCATTCTTATCAGCACCACCAGTTAAAATCTTGCTGGTATCTGCACTATGAATATCAAGCGCCAGTATACCAGGCACACTGGCAGAATGGAGACCCTTGAACAAATTGCAATCGTGAAAATATGCTTAGGACTCTTACACACGAACAAGTGAATAAATAAATATTACAGGATGCGATGCAAGTGTCTGAAATGCGCGAATACTGTCTTGCGGAAGCAAATCTTCAGGAACTGAACGTCCACGACGTTTTCTTTCCTGAGTAAGCACTGTGGCTCTCTCTTGAAGTTTCTGTATTACATCCTCAGTAATACCAGCTTGTTCCATAGGTTGAGCTGCTGTGCCACCAGCTTCAACAGCAACTGCCTAAAATAAAACACAGTTTGTAACTAGAGGTAACTTATGCAGTTGGATAATGCGGAGATTAATGTATGTTTCTCATACAGGTTGTGGAATGGCAGTGGCTTGTACAATTCCAGCTTGTGGTTTCAAAGTGGCTAAAGCCTCTCTGGCAGCTGTTACTTCTTTTGTCAATCGAGCAATTACACGGCACGCTGCATCGTGTTGATATAAAGCATGAGACAGTTCTTGCCTAGCTGTTTGGAGTTGCTGTCTGAGTGTGAACGAGTGTAACATTACAGCGTCCCATTCATCTTGTAAAATTTTTAATATGGCTGGAATAGATGTGGCACTTGGTGGTTTGGGTTTCACTATTGGAGTGGCTATAAGAAATCATAAAGTTTGTATAACGATCAACGGTAAAGTATCAAAAATAAAAGTACAGTAACATACTTTTGACATCAATGAGCTGATCAATGGTCAATTCTTTCCCACATATAGGATCCACTCCATTTTCAGTCACATACTTCTCGATTAAACGCTTTTCGAATATAAAACCCGAGGCTGGAGATACGACCGGGTGCTCCGGCACTTCGTTAGAAACTGAAAATACATATGTTCATATTTGTGGAAGGCACTGGCGGCAATGCGAAATATTTTAGGTTATGTTTAGTGTTTGCCGGCATGATCCATAACGTATATCATAAAAAAAAAGACACTTTATTTAAAATATTAATGCGTGGCATCACTTATATACGTTTAGCATAAATATATTCTATGCTTCTAATTCAAAAATACTAATGGAAAGAAGAAAAACTTACTTGCACAAGAAAGCGCCATTTTCAGACACACGAAATGTAATTACTGCGCAAGACATTTAAGTCGATTTACTACTTCCACCAATTTTTATGTAAATTTAAACAATGTAACCGTACAGTACATGCTTCGTGTAATTTAAAACAGAAACTTATATATTATATAACAGGTACTGAAAAAATATGTAAATTATATACATTATAACGTATACATCATAAAATCCAAGAAATATTTAATAAAATAACATTAATAAACAAATTTTTCATTGCAAAGAAAAATATTTTTATATTTCCATAAGGTACTGTATAATACATGTTATTATATAAAAAGAATCAAATAGAATTGTAACCATTTTTTATCTAATACTGCAGTATTGGAAAAGATGATGTATACTTATAAGTATATAAGTATAACTTCCGCTTTAGTGAAGTAAACATGGCTCCTACGGTAGCTGTCATCTATTGTCTTGCACTCGTTTTGGCGATTTCAAATGTCGATTCAGCAAGTAATTATTACGGATCCGCGAGAGTTGAGGTACAGAATATATATATTTTTACGGAATATAATTTTTATTACGCTAGTACCTTACAATTTCATACAAAATCATGAGAACTCAACGTGATGAAAAAATGTTTCCAGAGCTGCGGTGGTTGCACTCTGAACCGGCTGTCAGATGTAAAGGATTTTATCTACAAAGATGTACCTAATTAGTATCCTTAATTTACTATAATTTGCACATTATACGCTTGTATAATGCATATAATTGTTAAAGAAACTTTTTAAATGAAGTAGGTACCTTTTGAGTTTTGGTTTTTCAGCCTTATGTGCTTTGTGAGTGAAGACCAATACACCTATACCTACCCTTACATAAGATTCATAATTCTAGCATACATGATCATCAGAAACCTTAAGTTATAATCATGTATGAAAATCCAAGGAGAATAGTTGATAAACATAAGATAGAAGACTTTCTACTGTGTCTATTTTTTTCATTTTTTATATTGATTTGAATTGAATTATTATTAAGAGTATGAGATTATTATGCATAAAGTTCTGTATATAACTCCTTATAATGTTTTATAGCAATAATGTTGAATTCAAATATATTCGAGGTGCTGCCCCAGAGCTTGTACTCCTTAATCATAATAATGAGGTATATTGTATATTATAAAATTGTATATTATAGGATAGTTATATATTTTTAACTTTTCAGGAAGTGGAAAGGTTACCATTGTCAAGCCTGACTCGGAATGAATGCAATGATTTGTTAAGTTCTAAAGGTTTTACTAAGAAAACAACAAGAGATGAGATATAGAACATAAGATCAATAATGCCTTTAGTGTCAGAGTGAATGAGTAACTGTAAATTGTGGACATTCTTTTAGTGTTTATTAAACTATTAATGTTGCTTTTATAATTATGTCTATTATGATCTCCATTTATCATTTGTCTATTATGATCTACATTACTCATTGTTAGAACTGTGTTTTTACATTTATTTGTAAATAGAAATAAGCATTGCTTCTATAAATCAAAATGAAGGTCTTTTAAGAGATATTAATAATTGCAATAAATGTAATAGACGAATTCTAACTCCAGTTAGATGATTAATAGTTGGAATATAATTAAGGCACAAAATAGTAAATATTGTAGAGATCCTTTGATGCACTTGTTATTGTCTTTCCTCATTTTAATTTAGACAAGGGAGCATTTTATTATCTCCCTATGGAGCTGCAATCTGTGATGCAACAATTAGATCCATAATGTGATAAAGTTGATCATTATGGAGTGCTTGGGCTCCCTTACTCAAAAGTTTTAGTTGTTACATTTTACGAAGTTTAAAACGATTCAACACACCAATGTAAAATAAAATCGAAATAATTCGTCGTTACAGTAGGGCCTGGGGCAACTGAAACTTATGTAGTAGGGTACCCACTGCTTATTCATTTTGTTTATGTATTGCACAATGTTATTCCTTTTTATTATTGTAACAGAAATTTATTTTTATAAGCAGTTTTGACAAAAAGAAAATAAACAATTTCAAACCAATAAAAATGCTCAGTCAGAAGCAAAATACCAAATTGTAATAATAAAGTTATATAATATATATCAAACTTAACTAGAGTAAGTTATGATTTGAATTCTTGTGATCCACTTATCTGTGTATGAATTGACACTGCACTTTAATTAAAATGTTTATCTTAGCGTAAGTGTATATTTATGATCTCCAATAAAGTATTCGATTGAATATCTGTATTATATTATTTATATGAAACTATCATTTGTGTGTCATATAATCTCTTTTAGAAGATAATAAAGGGTAAACAAATTTTATTGAAAACACTCTTATTTAACATTTTTATTTGAAGTTTATTCTAGCAATGATGTATTAAATAAAATTCTAAGGCACTTTACAATGTCTGACTGTCAAAAGAATTACAAACTGCATTTAATAAATAACATTAGCCATGTGTTTTTAATACGAAATATGTTCAGTTACAAATGTTTCATTCATAAGGTTTAATGACTTTCACATAGCCACTACAACTATACATGGAATGTCAATTTCCTATCAGTCCAATCACTGATGCAACATTGAATTAAATTGTAAACAACTGGACTTTAATGTTTTTGTTATATGACACTGATCTGTCATTTTGTAATTACCTTTTTATATTCTATATCCATAACCACTATGCAAATGAAAAGAATAATAAATAAACTATGTTCATGTATTTAACCTTTTTTTCGTTTGCTTCTATTATCAATTTAACTTATTACTTAGATTATATACATTGTTTTTTTTAGCAGTTTATTAAAACTGTGTAGGTCCATGATAATGTAATAAAACTACGTTGCTTAGGTTCTTCTAAAAATCAAATATGTATGTTTGCATAAACTGAATAATATCTTACATATCTAGAAGTGATATATTTTTACATATATGTATATACATAAATATCATAAGTTCCAGATTTTCTGAAGCCATTAAAAACAACCTGCTTGAATATGTGTATTCAGTGAAAAGTATAAATACAAGGTGAAAACTTATACCTTTTTCTTCTACACTGCCAATAATAACATCAATAGTGTTATGTTTAGATACAAAATTTATTCTTTGTTGTAATCACAAAAGATTAAAAATAAAGTGTATGTACATGTAAAAATATTACAGCTACGACAGTTAAAACCCGTTTGTTTATTCAAGCAGGCATAGTTACCACAGTGAGTAACAATGATTACACAAACGGGGAAAGATGTATTAATAAAAATGTAATGAATCGATCCATCAAGTGGACAAGATTACAAAATATGGAGCAAGAAGTATGGTTGAACAAAAATGTTATGCCATCAGAAGCCAACAGATGAATAGCAATGCCACCCATAGAAACACCTTTGAAAGAAATTGCTCGTCTTCATACTGAGGTGTTCCTCTAGCAGCTACACAATAACAAAGATACCAATTTGTATTGTTTTCATAAGAATTGTTAATAAAACAGTGTGTGTACAATGTAATTTACCTGCACTTGGTCGTGTTTCACCAAAATTAAAAGTTGATGTGAAAAATGCAAATGGAAATGTTCCAATGCCAAATGACATGTAGGAACCATCTCCAAATCCAAAACTGGAAAATCCAATGTTGTTTTCAGGTTCTGTTCTCTGTCCAGCTGGGCGTGGTGGGACATTATTTCTGGAACAATATAAAATGTAATTTTTAATGTATTACTAAGTTATTAGAATGTGATAGATTAATGTAAAGAAAATATACCTTGGATCTTCATGCCTTGTAGCTCCACGACCATACAATGGAATGACTTTGTCTTTACTGACTGCAGCTTTACAGACAGGACAGACTTGTTTCGTTGGGCGAGTCTCTAACCATTGATGTAAGCATGGCCAACTATATTATAAATATTGTGTGGTGATACAAATTATGTCAGGAATGTAGAACATACATACATAAATGTTTCTATTTAATTCCTTACCAAAACAAATGTCCACACATGCTAATTACCGCATCTTTGGCAGTGTCCAGACAAATATTGCACTCAAAAGTTCGATTATCCTTCTCTGTTTCTTCTGTTGTAGAATCCCATGGTTTTGAGGGTCCTGCCTCTTCCTTTGTGGTGCTCATGTTGAAAGGCTTGCCTAAGACGTAAATTACCTGTAATTAACATGGGATACAACTGTACAGAGAATGATTAATTACAGTAAAAAAGACCAAGGAAATGTCTAGAAAGAAAAACATTAAATATTTGCATAACGTTCATGTACCCAGGAACGCGAAAGAAAACGAATTTTAATAATTTTTTATCGCTCGGCATTGACAACACTGTCGTAGGCCAAGGAACGATTTCCGAAAAACAATATGACAACGCTGGGACGACGTGTCGTGATACGGACAATCCATTAAACGTAAAAGTCAAGAAACGTGAAAGGTTAAGATCGTATGTCGTTTAAAGACGCCGTAATTTACAATCACAATCGTGCAATATCACATTCTTCGAGTTCGTTCCCATTCACTGACGTACGATGCATCTGCGAACGAGATTGGGTCATTTGTTCTATACTAAAAAAACGTCGAACCAGAAAATAGCATCATCGCGTTCTATTCACATCACCGTGAAAGTACCTAGTCGAACAACAATCTGTCAAACATGGAACAATTCCTTCGATCAAAATATTCGTTGAAAAATCGAGCGACGATCGAAGTTTGTCAGGTGATGTATTCAAAGGTCGCGAGCCCCGTCAAAATACGGATAGAGCCGTGTCTGCCATTGCTGACATAATTTGTGTCACTTACTTTCGTCTCTCGACTGTGGACCCCCCTTTGGCGATGTTATCCTTAGCAAACTTAACGCTCGTTCCGAATTATGATCAGCCCGTACGATCAGATACACGACTGTCGCAATTGCGCAAGTGCCATCAGATGATTTTCATGATTTTTCGCGAAACGGATGTTCGGAATAACACGTAAGAGATTTCACGACGGACCGTCACCGTTTACTTGCCGTATGCTATCGTTGACGATCGGTTCGCACGAACTTTACGCAGTTTCACGTTTTATTTTTATCGGACCTGTCCTCGACCGTAACTACAATTCTCCAGCTCTAATTTTAATACAGTTACATTAAAACCACCACTTGATTAACGCCGTAGTCGTACACGATTTAGTTCCTTATCGACCAATCTTTGAACACAGTTCAAAATGGTTTCATATTGGGTCGATAGAGTACGCTTGGGTGCTGCATCGAAGACACTTCGAATGCTTCAGCACGAACCGTGTAAATTTATATAAATTTAATATATTCACTCTGTAATAATTTCTTAGCGATAATTATTTTAAACAATACTACGAAAGCTGTTGCATTACAGAGATATTGATGAAAAAATCGGAAGTTATTGACAACACTAATGTCAACGTGAAATTGATTTCTGCATCACCATGGAGTTAAGGATATCGTTACTGATGTTCGACGCGTTCGTCTTTATCGCGGACTGAAACGGTTTGAGGACGAATTTGAAGTACTTTGAGTGCATTGGAACGGAACAGTTTAACTAGTGAAAGCACTATTCATCATATCATTTTTTCAGGAAGAACTTGCATCTTAACAAATGCTACTACACGTCAACATAATACAATAATTCATTGTGACAGACGCTCTATTACAGGTATCAGTTACTATTGCTACGGTAATATATACAAAACGCAAAAATATAAGGTTATATTACTTAATATCACTTGAACCTTTTGACAATTCTCTCGGGGAGGGGGGGGGGGCGAATACGCTAATACCTTGGTGTACAGAGGACATATTAACATTGTACTATTGTACGTTCAACGATACGAGTCGGTAAAAATAACCAAAATATTCGCTCGCGATGCCCAGTTATTGGCTCGCAACTGTCTCTGTCTCTAGCCCACCTAAACGATCATCACCTCTCTTTGTTTATAGTTACTGTCTAAACTCGTTGAATGTGGTATAGTTATTCCACTTTGTTTTACATGAAATGAAACGCGCGCGTAGAACGCAAATACATCGTTTTCAGAATGGCGAAGTCAGAAGAATTAGTGTCGCCGCAAATGGTGTCCTCGGGGAAGTTCGAAAGTCCAGCCTCCTCGAAGCTGAAGATGAGCATGATGGGAAAACAACGGAGAACCATCGGGAAGAACGTAGCATCGATTCTTCTGCAGCAACGGCAGGGGATTCGCGTAATAATCGAGAACGTCGACGTCACGCCACGATTGCTAACCCACCCGACGTATAGTTCGATCGATGAACGGCAGATCACTGCATTGGAAACGATCGGACTGACTCGTGTTGGCAGTGCCGGCCAATTGTCCTCCAGTTCTGCGATCAGTAGCCTGAAAAAGAGCTCGTCCGCGATCGTTCGAACGGCCTCGTTTCCTGCGAGTATGATGACGGTGGATGACGCGCAGTACGAGAGCTTCTGGTCCACCCAAATGTACGAATCGCAGATTTACGACACGGAGGACCCAGCTCCGACACAGTTTTATTTACCTAGGTAATTTGAAAATGGAACTGAAATCTAAATGCATACCGATGTTTATATTCAAGAGGCCATTTCCGGTTGCGTAAAAGAGGCTCAGAAGTGGGGAAAGAGACGTTTAAAAGCCAATCACATTGTCCGTGTTACTGCAATGATCCTTTGGGGACGCCAATTAACAGTATTAAGACATTATTAATTAAAAAAAAAAGGAAATGAATAACAAATGATCGTATATTTTTTTTCATTGATATATCGATAAATGTTATAGAATTTACAAGTTGTTTAGTGTTGCGTCCACAAAGAATTACGGTTAAGAGTATATATATAGACACACTTGTTCTAATTTTATGCCTCCCATCCAGTATCGATCCAAACATATTTCCTTCACGGCCGGAGACTGTAAAGATTACACTGCGAGAGACAGAAACGTTTTTCATTTTCGAGATGCTACCTTACACCGGTGATTTACGCACCCCGGATGGTACAGCTATCAAGCTAGAGAATGAGATGTATGACTTTAAAACAATTGGGGCTGGATCGAACAGGAAGCTAGTAGACTCTGAGACCCAAACTATACAAGTTCTGACGAAAACACGCGGTACCTATCTTGGTAGATCCAAACGACGAAACCAAGGGATATTCGTGAATAATTGGATCATGCACGACACCTATGCCGCGCCTGAACTATTGACCGAGGAGAATGGTATTCTTGTTGCGCACACAAGGACGAGTATGACAGAACTGTGGCAGGCGGAGGTTTGAGCAATCGTCAATTTGCGCTACTATAAAGTATTCACTGATTACACATTAACTCAATATAAGTTATCTTTTGTTAGGAATTGAAGGACAAACTGCCGTTAATAGAAGCACAGAAGAAAGCAAGAATGATGGAGGAAGAAGTCGCTGAAATATTCCAGAAGGCTAATTTCGTGAACGCCGTGCGAGTAATGGAGCGTATAATATCAAACAATATATTTATCAACGCACAGAAGCGTTTCATCGGCTTGATTAAGCAAGACCCTTGCAGTTTAGACCTCGAGTTCACGTATAGCCTCGACCTACTCTGGGAGCACAATTTCGAGATGAGTAACGGAAGACCAGTGTCGTCTTTTCGTTGGAGTTACGTTAACAAGAATATCTTGGCGGTGGGTTATGGGGCGCTGCCCCATTCGGAAATCAAAGATGGACTGTTGTTGATCTGGTCCGCGAAGAATCCCACTCTACCGGGTCGTTGGTATCCTTTCGATATTCCAATATCGGACCTCGATTGGAGTCGCGATCGACCGAATCTCCTGGCTATTGGATTCTACGATGGTCACATCAAGGTCATCGATGTCAGCGCCAATTACCTTAACGTGATACGACGAAGCGAGAGAATCACATCTCCTTCGTGTTCACCGCAATGGCAGGTGCAGTGGTGGGCTGGCGACGAACAGTTCAATTACGAGGAACAAATTTATACGTGTGACCAAGATGGTCATATATTTTGCTACCGTTACGTGGAGGACTTCATGTCAACAACTATTATGAGGATCTACAGGATCGAGGGTACACTGCCGGGTGTTCCAAGAACCTCTCATTGCATTGTTTCCGATACACTGATCAATCGAAATCCGGGCGCGTTGGTGCTCCGTAAACACCCGACGTCGAGTGCTATTTACTTTGTCGGTTCTGACGAAGGATGCATCTACAAATGTTCGACTAATTATTTGTATCAGCACATAGAGAGCTTCCTTGCCCACGACGGGCCAATCTACTCGATGATGTTCTCCCCGTTCTGCCCGAAGATCTTCTTAACATGCGGCGCTGATTGGTGTACGAGAATCTGGGTGGAAGGGTTCACGGAGCCATTAATCACATTATCCACGTCAATGGCTTGCGTCCGATACACGGCATGGTGTCCCACCCACTCCACGATCATCGTCACGATCGTTAACAACGAGATTTGTATTTGGGACATTAGGAGAAAAATTCACACGCCGACATCGATCACGATATCACCGAAGAACGTCAGACTGGTGATGGTCGAATTCACGGCGGATGGTAATCGTCTGGTGTCCGCGGATATCGAGGGCAACGTGTACGTCTACAACATGGAGGGAATGCCGTTTCCACCGTACAATCAGGAACTGGTGTTGATCGAGTCGATTGAAAAAGCGTTGGTCGTTAAGCCGAATCTTCTGCGGAAGTTGCGCAAACTCGGACCGCCGTTCACGAAATGAAAATCGAAAGAGAAACGGCACTACAGCTTACGAAACCGTTCTCTTGCTGTCCGTTAACCCCCGGAGAGAATATCGTGTTTACATCGCCCGAGTAATTTGCATCGCGAAGCTAAAATTATCTTCGTTTAATTTTCAATAAACCGCCAGCTGAAAAGCCGGCCTTGTTTCGTGTGCCCGGGCTTGCTTCCGAAGTGGCCCTCGAGCCTCGGAGTCTCACAGCCGCCGCACGTCGTTAACGGTAGACAGATACGGCATTTTAAACTTCTTTATCGACGGCGCAGCCCTGGGGCGAAATCCAGCACGTGGGGACCCCTCTCGGTTCCCCGAAGCGAAGCGCGTGGGCCCCCGGAGGGCCTCTTCGCGTGATTCGCGCAAAAGGACGGAAAGCAAAGCGACCATTTCGTGATTCAGGATGGAACTCCGTCCGGTGTGCGCCGGGGACCCACTCTGTGGAGCTCTGGTAGGCAGGCGGCGAGCCGGCACGGATGGCTGGCTGGGGCCCGCTTCGGAGGAGTTGCAGGAGAGCGCGCCCATGGTAGAGGGGCTTCCATGGCTGCTGCCGCTCGCGGGCACGAACCGCGCTACCGCCGTCAGCAGCCAGTCTTATTACGCCCGCACTCAACTACGCGAACTAAGTACTCTTCTTAGGCCGGGGCAACACATATACACACAGACACAGAGATACGCACATATACATATCGCCACTGCTGAGTAAGAATCGCGCGGAGAGCCTAGCCCACGCGAATCCGGACGCGCCACACACGAAAACCGGTGCTCGGTTTCACCGCCACGAATCCGCCAGTCTCTGCTACGCCTTAGGGGCCCACCAGTTATCTCTCTTGTATTGGACACGCGTGCCGTTTCGAAAACCAATCTCTGAGATAAAGTTAGCGGATTTGCGAGCGGTGAGGAGGATCTCTCGAGTTTGATCACTGGGCGAGGACCCTGCTCGGCCCGGTCAGAGGTAACTTTAGAACGTTTCTTTATACGATTCGTCGAGACCGATAACATCTGCTTTTGCATGGAGATACGTTGCTTCGATACTCTTCCGTTTGTTTGTTTGTTTTTTTTTTCTGGTTTGTTTTCTTCTCGAGGATATACAATGCATCTGAATGTTGTTGCTAACGGTTGGTGTGTTCTTATGCGAAACAAGACGATCGGACGTGAACGATAATAGTGGAGTATGATGATTTTAACGCAAATATAATTCCAATACAGAAATAAATCGTGGTTTTATAAAAATTCGTGAAGACTGATTAAAGGTTTTGAATTTTCTTGAAACTTGCCACGGTCTCCCTTTTCTTTTGTAGTGAATATTTATGCTGCGTGTTGTATTTGGGTTTATTGACAAAATGATATGACAATCAATATAGAATATGTGGTATTTTGTGTTATTTAGAACGAATAAGAAAGAGCAAGTGTATTCGATCTGCCGGATGTCGTTTCAAAGTCAAAACAATGGTCATTGTCTCCCTCGCGTGTCACTTTGGCGAATTAAAATTCGACAGAGGTCACATGACCCTGGAATGTCAGTTCCACTCGCGGCGTCGATCGAGTTAACGCGGTTGTTTGTGTTCGGTGTGAAAAATGTAAGAGAGAACGGACGTCTTATCGTCCATGGGGACGATTAGTTTAGTTTTCTTGGCAGTAGAAACACGTCGGCATTAACATCGCCGGTCATTACGTTGTTTGTCGCGCGCCAAGAATTCGCGTCCACGCATACCGAGCTGTCACGATTACCGCGTGTCACGAATTCATCGTATATTTTGATCGGTCGGCATGGTCGTGTCTCGTTTCGTACAGAGATACTTCGAATAGTCGAACGCACACATGTTACACCGTACGAAATCTTTTACTATTCACTTTATTCGCAAATCATTTCGATTTTCAAACTTGAAACCCCGTAACAACTCGTTACAACGTACAAAAACTTCTATTTCAACCCCAGTTTCCGCAAAGTGATCCATAAACATTTACATATATTATCATAAATATCTATGATCCAGTTTATTAATCGAATAGCATCCGGGAGTTTTAATTCCCTTAATATTTCGTTTTGAAATTCTGGGAAAAGGTTAGAAAAACAAACGGAGGGTGGGGATAAGACGAACGCGTATTTCCATGCAAACGCCGCCAACGGTCATTTCCGTAAAAAATCAGTAGAGGTCTCCCCTCATCAAGTCGACGTTAACTGTCTCTGCTGATACGTCACGAACCTGATTTCCTGTCAATCGTTTGTGTGAAGGTCGCCACCACGCATTACATTTTATTTGGATACCAGTCCGTCGGTCTTCGAAGTGAACGTGGGTCAGTGTGAAGACTGCTTAACAGCGTGGAACATGTGCAACCAGGGAATAGTGGCGAAGCCGATGTTGCCGGGGCACGAGCTACACTGTGACCACTCTGTTCTCGACGAACCCTGACCGATTCTACGGCTCGTCTCTCTGTCTCTCTCACTGGCCAGCTGACCAACGACATCGAGGAGGTGAAAAACGCGCGACACACGGGGTGAACGCGCTCGTTCGAATATCGAGGACGTTTAATCGTGGTCGTGGTACCACCGCGTGTAAAAGTGTCGTTGTTTCGAGTTTACGCGCACGGTGTATAAATCGGAGAGAGTCCTGCTGTCGACGAGGAGCGGTGTGTTCGCGAAATTACATGTTTCCTCGTGCATGCGGTACGCTATGAACATCAACGTCCTCGGATGTAACGGGTGGTTTGCAAGTAAGTACATATATCTTCTTCTTCACATGGCGTTTGTGAATGTGATTTTTTGTTTGTCGATCCTCCCCGTTCTCAGTTCGCTGCCTTTTGAATTCGAAAACGCAAAGCTGACGCGACATCTATGCACAGAAAGATAGCAATAGACACACGATTCTAGAATGAAGTATCAATTAATTAATTATCGTCGATTCAGAATCATTGGATAGTAATGTTCGAAACTTAAGAAGACATTCACATATTTTCCTTACAATTTTTTTTCTGTAGTACTTTTTTTGTATAAGTATAAACGGTCTTGATTATGATGGTAGGTTATGTGATAGCGTGCCGCGCATCTTGCCGCGCATTCGATCGTGCGTAACCGTTTACGTTCGTTGAATCAACTATTCCATCGAAATTCCGAGGATTTTCTTATTTCCAAACAATAATTTCTAATAGTCTACCACGTTAATTCTTCCAATTGATTGAAACGATTCCATGCATTATTCGTTAAACGCGACTTCATTAGACGATATTCCTCTGGCGATCAGAAAAAGATTTTATTCTCCAAGTCTAACAAGACCCGCCATTTTCCGTCTACACAACCGTATACGATGTTTCCAAACGATTTCTGTTGTCCGCTTTTACAATTTATCACAATCCATTTTTATCCCATTTGTTTGTCCAGTAATTTAAATTCTGTTCGCGAGCTGCGATATTATCGGATAACGTGTGGTATAAACGTTAAAGGAATCTTTCATCTAACAGGCCAGGGTTCAGAAGTCCCGCCATTTTTCGGTCCACAGGCGGACCGACGGTGTTCCTCGAGCCTGGGTGTCAGGCGTCTAATTAACATTTTTCTCCCCCGTCTAACGGGTCATTGTCGTCTTGATACACGTAACAAAGTGCTTATCGTCGGCGCGTCCGTGTAACCCAATTAACGTTTCGAATTATACGTTTTAGGGGAAGATTAACGAGCGCAGGAAACGCAACAGCGCGGTCAGTTCGATCCGATATTTCGAGCATGTTGCGCGTGCGCGCGATCGTTTTACGCGAAACGTTTTTGTGCGCCTAATTGCTAACGGAGATCAATCTGGAATAGGCCCTCGAATGCACACATAATGCACTCGTTATCTGACCCCCTGCCCCTAAAATGGCCCCTATCCTTTGCCCTCATAAAACTTCATCTGTAATGGGGCCCCCGCCTATTGCTCTAATCGCGATCATGCATCACGGTCCTCTATCTTCATCTGATTCCACTGTGCTTGGAGCTTATAGTGCGATTCACACGTGGATTAACAGCTTTTAACATTCTTTCATTACCGTTTCCGAATAAATCATGGATTATTGACGTTATCTCCTTACAGGTGGGAGGGGGCAGAATTTTGGACGAAAGCGGTCGTGCACGTTTTTTTAGGGAAAATCTAGGGTTACCAAACTGGTCATCAAATACATTAGCCGAAATTTCTATGAAGTGATCTTCATATTCATAGAGATTTTCAAAATACCACCAATTTTATTGATCCATCATATCTGTTTTTGTACTTTCATTCGGACAAATTTATATAGAAATAGTGAAGAACAATTGTTAATTTCAACTTTACTCGCGTAAAAAGCGCACGATTTTATTGAAGTTTTGCAGTTTGTTTTCCGTTCAGATATATATTTTTCGTTTCTTTAAATAAGTGTTATATTTATTTTTCGAAACCGATCTGTACGCTTTCTTTAATTACTCCCCAAATGCTACAAACACAGATTTATCATTAGTATGGAATAATTATAAGAATTCGTCAAAAATCACGGTGACTTTAAAAATTTCGGCCAGTGTACAATGTAAATAGAAGTTCAGTGTAAAGTTAATTTATGAAATTGTTCCAACGTAGCGAAGATATGCTTCGTTGATTTTGCTAATCGTGTATATATAGAATGATTTCTCTCGGGAAAACGGGAATAGAGACGTAAAACCCGTCGAGCTCTCTCGATAATAATTAGAGTCGTCGTTCCGTCGAACGAGATGTCCAGCCCGAAATATTTCCCCCGTAATCAACCAGTCGTCGTTGATTGAATAAACGATAATACAGCAACAGATCCGCCTTGATTTGAGGGAACGCAGAACCGGCGAAATTATTCATGGAATAATAAATTCAGCTGGTTATCAGATTTATAGCGAGCCCCTTTACCTGGCCGGGTGTGAAGAAAACGCGGCCCGAGCCGCGGGTTTATTTAGCCGTTCCGTGCCGCGGGCCTACATGGCGCTGAATGGATAAAGAAGAACAAGATCTAGAGAAAACGCGTGGGTTTTCGTTATCGGCCCGGTAATTTATGCAACCGGCTGACTAGTAGATTCCTGTTCGTAACCGTGGGGGTATATCCCCGTAGAGTCATATATCATCGTCCGTTGAATAATCAATTAATAAACAGGAATAAATGATCGTGTCACCAAGAGAAACGTGTATAAATCTTATTACCAGTTTGGGTTAGGGCGCCCGGTTGATTATAATAATTATTGTTAAGAAAAAATATTCGCCACCTGTTTACTGTCACAAATTAATCCCTCGGACATGTTTCTGTGATACAAAAGCACCCTAAGAACTGATAGCTAGAGGAAGATACAACCTAAAAAGTATTACCTGAGATCCAGACTATCCTACATACCACACCGATTCTGGTTCAACTGATTCTAATTGAATGGAAATAAACAAGTCTGGAACTGGTCGGGCTTCAGTTCCTGTAATCCCTCGCGAGCAAAGTCAGACGCGTAACGATTAATCATTTGCACACAATCTACTTGGCACGTGGATAGATAATCAAGACAAAAAAAAGGGGGGGGGGGGGGAGGGACAATGCGATTCAGTCTTCCAGAAAGGATCGACCGAACGCAACAGAAGCGATAATGCTGGGTCACGTCGCGAGGAGACGCGAGAGGGGAATCTGTGATCTGTGAAGAACCTCGTGGGTGTAACGAGGGGTATAATGCGAAGAAAATTACAGGTGGGTTCCACCCTTCTTTACCCTCTCGAAATCACCACCTTGGGACGCACACCGGAGATCCATTACAGCACTAGGATTGTTCTTGAAAATCTCTATTTCGCTGGTGAATGAATCGGGTGGATGATTTTATCGAGAGCAATGATCGATACCAGAAAGAATTTCAGATTTTATAGAGGGTACCTACACGGTGTTCCTCTCGTTTAGATACAAATGAGCTCGAAATCTTGCGAGCCTGAGGAAGATACGCTTTGTCGATAGGGGCGGGATCACGTTTTTCTATCGTGGTTCTACAAGCCAGACATTGAAATCGACAGAACACGCGGATAGAGAGAGTCGAGGATCGGTTCGTGTTGAACAAGACCGATAATAAAGGTGCTTGTTTAAGCTTGTGTGTACCGTAATAGACGAGATTAAAGAGAGGGGGAAAAAGGAAGGAAAAAAAGGAAGGGAAGCTGGTGTTGTTACGAGCGAATCTGAAACACTCAGGTATAAATAAGACGATAAGACTGCGTCAGCTCACTCTCTCTCTTTGGCGTGCTGAAGATGTACTAGATCGACGATCCGCGAACAACGTAGGCGTTGCAACGAGCATGATAACGCCACGGTGGTTGCAGCCTATTGTTTCCGGCCAGACCTGGGCACTTCTAAAATGGTATTGTTTAAAATATTATTTTAAGTAACGTGTTATTTTATTGTCAAGTTATTTGAGATAATTCTTAGAAATAATTGTGAAATTGTTCGAAATTGTATCAGGTGAATAGGTCTCAGGTTGGTTTATTGTCATTTTTCTGAAGAGCAACATCCCTTTTCTATCTTCCAGGCCAGTCGAACGATTCATTTCTTTCGCTACAAATATTAAACGGACCCAAGCAAACATCTCTTACGGACAAGCTTTTCGAAAAGCGAGTTCTGCATAAAGCAAATTTCTGTAAAGATTTCTTAAGATAAAATCTTGATAATGAATCTTATTTTTATTTACCAAATTTGAAACAAAAATAACGACGTTATACATTATTTGAAATTGTTACTATTATTCTAAATCGACGATTATTGGATTGTTATTTCGAATACGAGTCTGTACAACGAAAGAAACATATAACATTAGTAGGGTTTGAGGAAATATTCTGAAGATGAAAGTATTCTGGATTCGGAAATTGAAGTTCGATTGTGTTCTCCTGGCCGCACGGTAGACTTGATCAACGGTTGTATTTCAGGGGGGCAATAAAATATCGTTGGAGTAGCTTAATTGGTTGGAAAATTGAAGATGGAAGATGCAAGGTTTGGATCATGGTATGAAGTATTTTATGGTACGGGGAAAAGAAGATAGGTTTCCGGATGTCTTCGAGCAACGTAGGTGGCACGACGGGAGCAATAACACGAGAAAATGCGAGAGGAGACCACGAAGAGGAGCGGCAAGAAGAAGAAGAAGAAGTTGGCCACCGCGACCAAGGAGTCATGCGATAACGCCTGCATACATCTCCGCGTCGTGTCAGGACGAGATGAACCGCACGATTAAAGATAGGTCGGGTGTACAGAGGACGGGGCTCGCCACTTACTTCGATCGCTCGTTTTAACGTCGAATTACATAAATCTCCTCTCCGCAGGGACTGGATATAAAATGGATGGAACTGTGCACGGTAATGCTCGTCCGTGTTCACGAATATACCAGTCTGTCCCATAAGAGCGATAATTGATATTTTTCGAAAATGTAAAATACATTAATGGGTCGATGAGTGCAACACACTCGGGTTTGCTTCGGAGCATTCGTAGCAAGGGAGAAAGGTTTTCAGCCTCATACATTTTTTTTTTTCATGAAGCCGAGTTTCTGTTTATTTTGTTTTGATTGGGTCCAGAGAGGGACCAACCCAGTAGTTGGAAATAACAATTGACACCACACCATCGACAATTGACAATCGACATTCGACACCATTTTATAGCCATTTATTTAAATCTTTATTCTTTTTAGTACAGATTACCGATAATGAGTTAAAAGTATTAGTAATCGATACTGACGATATCGAACTTCGCTTCTG